ATATATATATATATATATATATTATTATATATATATATATATATATATAGTTATATATATATATATATATATATATACTGGTTGTGTTATTCTTATCCAGATTCCGTACTGCTTTGGCATCAGTTGTATACAATCTGATCTCCTTTCAGCGCACACGTGCGTTGGCGCAAAGTTCCAATCGAATGCATCTGTTTGTGGTGGACGATATTGTTATTCTGTTTTCATTGATCGTTAGTGTTATCAGTCTGATTACAGTACTCCATTCTCACCAAAGTATGCGCAACCATCTCGTAGCAATGATAAGTCATACTAGACGAGTATGTCCCGTTTCTCACCAAACCTCGCCCTATCGACCACCCCATCCCACAGACGGTGCTCTACTGTTTGACGACTGGTTAGTACTGACCGGACTCATCGCAGCCTTTGTCAAGTGGTTCCTGGAAACGTTTGGCGTGATGGTCATGCGCGGTAACTGTATCGCAATCAAAGTGATGGATGCGGCGCAGTACACCACTCTAACCATTGCTAACGCCGGGCACAGAGCCAATTCCTGCTTGTCTGGCTGGTGCAGGCGGAAGTAGCTGATACTGATATGGGCATTGTATGTACACTTTATATCAAATTAACTGTTCTATGGCTACATGACTACTCGAGAGAACGAGAGCGAGAGTTTGGTTCGTTGCACTGTGACTTCGTATTGGAAACAATTGAGCGCTGAAATTACGTCTGGACGTACCTGGTAGTGCTGCCACAGCCGCAAAAGTTAATTGAAAGACATTGTTCAATCAGTAGCATTTGCCTGTGGCATCGAACTCGCCATCTCCCGCCAGACAGTAGCGATGACTCTGGCATCCAAGTGGGTGTACAAGTCACCTTGGCGTTGTATGTCATCGTACACGTACTTCATGGGCATACATTTGTATGCTTATAATACAATACATGCATTTGTATACATTGGTATGCTTATAATATATGCAAGTTTGTATACATTATTTTTCTTATAGAATATGTATTTTCCTATACATATGTATGCTTGTAATATATGTATCTTTGAATGCATTTGTATACTTATAATATATGTATGTTTATATACGTTTATATATCTGTACCAATTTGCATGCTTATATACACATACTTTTATATTTTTGTGCACTATTGTATGCTTAGAATATATGTATGTTTGTATACAATTGTATGTTTATAATAAATTTTTGTTTGTATAAAATTGTATGTAGACAATATATTTATGTTTTTATACAATTGTATATATATATATATATAATATGTATGTTTGTATGCATTTGTAAGCTTATAATATATGAATGTTTTATAAACATATATATATATACATATTGATATATATATATATATATATATATACATACATATATATATATGCAACACAAGTTTCAAATTCATCGCTATCTCTATACGACGGCGGCCACAAGGAGGACCCGACACTTGCAGTCATTCATAGTATGAAACTAGTGTCCGCACGACGATGTACAGTTTGCGTTAGTGCAAGTGTTTGTGCTTGAGTAGGTAGTACTGGTGTTTATTTTTGTACTTGATCCCAGAACGGAATTGAGTTCCATAACCTTATTTTTATAGCGGTATTGTCAGGTATTGTCAAAAGACTTGTGTACAGGAGGGGAGGAGCATAAACTCACTTTAAATAACACGAACGTTAAATTACAGTGTTCCTAGTGTACGTTCAGTGTATTTCCTATTATATTAATTGCATTCTCAGCTACTATATGTATGTACTCTTGTGTTGTACGTCCGGCACTTTCTGCGGGAACATCATGCTATTCTCACAACTTCACATAGTACTTGATACCCTTTAAAAGTGTTAGGTTCGTGCATGTATTACGTAGAGAAAGTTGCTGCACACGTAACTTCAGAAGCATGAATCGAGTACTAAGATCAAAATAAACGTTCTGTGACAATAAGTCTACCCCCTATTAGAATGATTTTAGATGCAAGTGGCAAGCCTCATAAGCCATGCTGCCTCTGGGTTTGATGTAGATAGTATGTCCGGCAATCTGTCCAGGCTGGACGCCTTTGGTTGAGAACGAAATGGCCCTTCGAAGTTCGTAGTCCTGTGACACGTAAGTTTTGTTCACTAACACTGGGAAGCTATTCGTTGCCGCACAAGAAAACGGACGTGTAGTCAATATACTAGTTAATCGGCTTGGTATTGGAGAGGCTAGTGCATACCCTAGAGTTTTCGCGTATTAAGGCCCACCTCGTGACTTTTTCCCCTTGAATCACCCTTGTTCTGGATTAACCTTTATCTTTTCGTATATCAGTATGGTCACCCAAAATTGCTTTGAATATGTACCTGTGCAGTGAATCGTATACTACTCAATCCACCGCGTAATTGCGTACCGCTACCAGTCCAACATAGTCTTGATGCGATTTCAGATGTTACAACAGTTAGCTATAACAGTTGTAACATCAACAACTACATTCACAGCAAAGTAAAGATGTCTTCACCTACAGCAATTGCGTTCACACGTCCTTCGGAATATTTATGATTGTTATTTCTCCCGCTTCTCTCTCTCTCTTTAATCTCTGCTCTAGTAAATGTTTAGTAGTTTCAAGTATGTAGGACATAGAGACTATTCTAGAGTGAGAGAGAGAGGATCAAATAATCAAATATTCACGTCATGGGCGCTCTCGGCCCATTCTGAAAATTGGAAATTTCAGAAGGCGGCTTTGCGTGTTTTAAATTTTTTTATAAATAATATATAAATAAAAATAGGTATTGAGTCTTTTTAATCTTGACTATGCGAATTGCCTCGTCTAAAAGACTAAAATCACCAAAATAGTAAGTAAGGAAACACAAACATAGCCTCCTAAAATTAAAAAAATAGATAGAACTACATGAATTTCTGTACCAACTATGTCCAATCACTTTTTATTTTATTTTATCTAGGACAGTACACAACAGAGTGAATAGACTGCAATCGACAATATAATATGGAATTCTGGATGGCGTCTCATAGAAAGTGAAACAATTTCTATTTTTTTTCCACAGACATTATGTAGCACAACGCCAATGGTTTCACATAGTGATACAGACTACAGTCTACTCTACCCTCAGGTCTCAGGCTCTCAGCCCTTTAAAAAAAAAAAAAGACAAACAGTCAACAGAGCCCAGAGAGAGGGTACAGACCCGGTAGAGTGTATACCGCAAACTCTACTGAATCTACTGACTCTCTCTCTGAGTCAGAGAGAGAGACTGGGAGAGAGAGAGTGTGTGAGTGGGTAGTAAAGAGTAGAGAGTAGAGACGCTATTACTCAGAAACCATGCTACATGCACTGTTGCAGGCTTGCAGACTCTCTAAATACCACTACTCTCTCTATTGTGTAAGCGTGAGTCGTGACTCTCGTGAGAGCGAGAGAGAGAGCAGTGGCACAGTGCACTGAGAGTGAAAGTCTGAGACAGACTGAGTGCAGTCGCCAGTTCGCCACTACTACTAGAGAGAGAAAGTGAGCAGTAGAGTGAGTGGTGGGTAGTGGGTAGTGGGTTGTTGGTAGTGAGTACTGGCCCGGGTACTGAATAGTGAATTAGTGACCAGGTAGTGACACTGACACAGTCAGCAACTGCCTGGTGGCTAACCTCATTACGTTTCCCGTTAAAAAAACGCAAAAAAGCGTTTACGTTCAAAGTTTATCCTAATATACAAATAGATACATTTTTTGAAGCGGCCTAGCTGTCACGAATTGTCCTATTTTTCGATTTGTGTCAGTTGTAAATAGTTTCAAATCGCCTTTTAATTAAAGAAAAGGTCAATTTCTCAGGTGCAATTTAAAAAAACCCATACTTTGTGTTTCTCTATTGAGTCTATTCTACTTCTATCTCTCTAAAGAGTAGAGTGAGCAAGTCAAAACTTCAAACATAGCCTATTCTCTAGTTCTTTGGACTGAGACTCTTCTATTTTGTTAAAAAAAGAAGAAGAAGGTATATGTAGGCGAAGCTGATTAGGCAAATAGCCGAATTTCTACAGGCAACATATTCTTCAAAGTTGTCAAAGAATCAAAAGCAAGAGTCACTTATCAATCTTGACCATGAGTATACTCACTTTATAGTTTATGAGACAAAACACAGTATACACTACATACTATTCTACTCTCTAGCTAGTAGTAGAGAGCTACTGAGTACTGACTACACAATATTTACACACTTCTTGACTTTGTAGAGTTATTGTACGGTGTACACAGCTGGTCAGTCATGAGTCTGAGTCGTGAGTCTGACTCGTTAGGCGGCTGTCAGACACTCACTCAACTCTCAGGTCTCAGGAGTCAGTAGTCTGAAGGACAACTAACAAGGCTTGTCTCAACTCTCAGCTACGAAGTGACGAAGTCTCAACTCTCAGCTACAAAGTGACGAAGTCTCAACTCTCCCAACAAGTCTTAACTCTCAACAAAACACAAAATAAAAAGAGAAGACACTGTTAGAGTCAAGAGTTACGACCACAATTTGTCCAAGATATACCAATGATCAGTGTCCTCAGCCCTTTTAGGTGTCCACTGACCACTGTTCAGAGTCCAGCTAGTGATGAACGCTTGGATCTATTTATATATATATATGGCCGTTGTTGTGTTGTTTTTCTTCTTCTCCATTTTTTATTTTTACAATACACATAGCCTCCTAAAAAACAACAAATACACTAAAGAAAACTTCTATTTTTTCAATGTCAGATCGTAACGACGTAGCCTAAAAACAAAATTGGAACGTTGGCAAATTATTAAAAAGCTATTTATGTAAATAGTCATAGCCTCCTAAATTGAACAAAATAATATACGTTCTATCTAACCCGTGCCGCAACCGTGAGCATTGCAAGGCCAAGAGAGCGAGATATATACATATAAAACCCTATTATTTTAAAAAAAAGTTTTTTTTATAGTATATAAAATACCGGTTCACCCCTATCATATATAACAAGAATGAAAAATAGTAGAAATAGAATATTTTAAAATACCTAGAACGAAAATATATGGGATCGAACCATGGCCTTCTATTTATAATTAAAAAATTAGACAATCGAACCAAGATGGCCATGATTTAAAAAAACAAAATCAAGAACATAATGAGTACCGGTCAGTAGGAAAAGAAGGTAAAGAATCGCTGAAAAAATATAAAGTAGCAATCGTCTGAAAAGAAGGCTATTTGGCTATTTGCAAATGAAAAAGGTGTCTTTTTTTGGAGGCCATATATGATGTGACAATACAGAGTACTACAGACTATGAATATATTTGTAAAGAAAATCGCCGCCATGAAGGCTTCGTCTAAATATAGGCAGGTGGAAGGGCATGCCAGTGATTCCACCAAGTTACAATTGTAATTTTGGGGGGTTAGAAATTAGATTTGTGTGCTGTTCATGGCCTTCTAAAAATGAACAAAGGTAATGTACTGTTTGTATTACTCAATCCTCAGGCTTCAGCCTCTTCTCGTGTTGAAATTTGTATTCTTAAAAATGGGTATGTTGTCGAGGAATATTTCGTATATATACCGTCTACAACTTGTACAGGTCCTCACTCCTTTAACAGCTTACACAACAACAGCTTACAGGTTACGAACAGCATAAATAACATCAACATGGCATCGAAAGAAGAAGACCGCACAAGCGTGAACATGATAGATACTCACACAGCCACACCACCAGTACAACAAGTGATGATGGTTCCTAAAGGTCCGGCTAATGCTGGACCCATTGGTCTCATGGGCTTCGGTATGACTACTGTATTGCTGAACTTCTACAATGCTGGTGTCGCGGAATCAGGTACCGTTGGTCTCATCGCGTGCTACGGTATCTTTCACGGTGGACTCGCTCAGCTTTTGGCTGGCATGTGGGAGGTATGTAAGTCTGTCAAAAGCGCTGGGCGTTTATAGTGCCCGTTGTATCTTTTTTGTACGTTGTTGATGTAGTAAGGCAGGAGTTTTCAAGTCTCATCCTCCTCCAACATGGATGGGGCTGTGCTCTTCGTAGACACATTTTCTTCACTTTTGCGATAACATTCATCCTGGATTGCAATTTTTTTCCTTCGTTCGAATCCTTACAATTTTTCTTATCTATACATCAGATTTCCGCCGGCAAAGTTTTTACCGGAACCGCTTTCACTACATACGGCGCTTTCTGGATGGGACTCGGTCTGTTTGATGGGCTCATCGTAACAGGGAATCTAGCGCCAGGAGACATCAGTGAAGGCAAGTGTATCTGGCTGTGCATCTGGGGTGTCTTCACCTTTTTGATGTTCCTTGGCACATTCCGAGCCAATCGAACTGTACAGTTTGTATTCCTGTCGCTGTCGTTGTTGTTCTTCCTGCTGGCGGGTGGCGTGTACAGTGAGGGAGTGCACAAGACTGCGGGTGTAGTGGGTATCGCCTGTGGAGCCTCGGCCATGTACCTTGGTTGGGCTGAGATCATGAATGAGGTATACCAGCGGGATATGGTTCCCATTTTCAAGATTAAATGGGAGTAAATATTAGATAAATAACATTTCAGAAGTAATCTCAGGACGGCCTGTGGCTGTCGGCGATCGTGCATGCCCGATGAGCGAGACTTCAATTAATAACGATACAATAGCTTTCAAGCAATGAAGAATACGAAATTAAATAAATATTATTACCGATACTTGTTTATTAGTTGTAAATAGCTTCTGTGTGAGTATGTTGGTTGGGATCTGTTCTGTTGATGCTCACCTCACCCTATGGCCTTTATTATGTTGACAGATGTTGATAAAAGAATGTTATTAACTTTTTTGAAGCAAAGAGCTTTATCACCTATAAACTTTAAAACACAATGCGTACCTAATGTCTAATATACTGTACACACGCGACACGAACAGTTCGAAATTGGCTCGTGCTTTTGAAGTAGTTTTGATGTATCACAACCATTAATATTTTAAATTCAGCCGTACATACATACATACATACATATATATATATATATATATATATATATATTAAAATATTAAAATATATATATTAAATAAATATATATCTATATATCTAT